TTTTTTTTTTTTTGTCGGTAAGGACAAAACTATATGACTACCGAACGACGCAAATTGCATTTCGCCGAATCGTGCAAATCGCATCTCGCCGAATTCGTCGGAGTGTCGATCATAATTTCGCATATCGTATTACAGCAGGAACGCTGCGCAATTCGCGGGAAATTATCGTCGCGCAGCACCGGACTCGTTTAAGACCGTTAATAACACAAACTACACCTAGTGCATCTGCTGACCCTGTGGTGATATGGAGCAGAAAGTTAATCGAGTCAAGTGATCAATGAATGTACGTTATAACGTGTGTTGGAGGGCGACTAGGTAGACAAACGTGTCTCCCATTAGTCCAATGACGAGCAGACATTTTACCTTGCTCCAGTAATTATGTTAATTCGTTCATTTGTGCGAATTATACATTTTATCGTCACGAAGATTAGTGAGCAAAATGTAAACAAAATGCATCAACGTCAACTATTTTTTTTTTCTTAAAGTAATCAACGATTCTTCCTCAAAAATGTTTTAATTACATTTTTAAATGCAAAGTATCGTTGATTCCGCGATTCTTTCGGCATGGTGCACATTTTCACGATTTAATTAATAATCCAGATGATTTTACCCATCAAAAGTGACGGTTACAGTCGGAGGTCTCTTGGTTTCTCTCTTCTTCCGGCCGTCGCGAATAATTCCTTTCCCGTTCTCCGTCGTTATGTTGTCATCCTCGTGAAGGGACAAATCTGTAGCGTAACTATCGTCGCTGCAACTATCATCAATATCGCTGCACTCTTCGTCGACCGTTGGTGGTTCGAGATTCTCATGAATCCAGCGCAAACTCATTTTCGCGGTCTTGTTACTGCTGTGTAAATTCACAAACGTATATTCATACCGCACGTCTAACAATGTGCTATCTAATTTATTTTGCGGAAACCGCATTGAATAGATTGTCATAGATCAGGAATTATGTGGTCATTTTGCGGTGAAAGGCAAGAATTTAATATATGAACCATAATAAATACATATTTATGCGAGTTAGATCACATTTATTGTAAAAAATAACATATAAAAATCTATTTAATTGTTTCTTGCATTACTTTATGAATATATGAAATTAAGTCTTTATGTATTTTAACTCTAAAGTTAACGAAAAAATATAAATTACGTTTAAAAAGATGTAAAGTAATTATATTTATATAATATCAATGCTTTTATTAAAGAGAAAATTTTATGAAATTTTATAGAATCGATATTTCGAGATGTAGACGAGATTTTTGCTATAATTATCATTTTATAACTATAATTATTTACACTTTCTATTCTGACAAGATCAAAACGACTTTAAGTTCCTCTAAAGCATTGTTCTAGCACGTACATCGAGAGAAAGACGATGTGTGGGAGCGTGCGTGAAATCTCTTTCTATCCGAATGCTGTGAAGCACCCACGCTCGCGAAACACTTTTCACCAGAAACAGTACTAAAAACTATGTATTCAGATTTAACGGTGGTCTCGGTCTACTAGCAACTGTGCGTACCGAGTGTATAGATAATTGCGCATTGGGACATACTTACGCTCCAATAACGTTAAACTAATTCAATAAAAGCCGAAGTACGTCACGCGCGGTAAGCTCAACGAATTCAAAAGGCAATTATCCAGAAACATACGTACTGCAAATATCAACTCGAGTCTTCTTCGATGTAACACATCGACATCAGCACGCGCACTAATTATTTATAGCAATTGTTACATCGTACTATATTGTAAAAAGCACCACGACAATGAATACATTACATTAGACCGTTTTCACGCACGAATATATACACCTATATCGCACATAGAAAGCTTTTTGCAAATTTAAATAAGAAATTGATAAAATAAAGTTGAAAAATAGCTGAGAAACATCGATTTTTCGTTTCTTCAACAAGGAAGAGTAAAAAATAAATTTTTCTTCGGCTACATTGCACTGTATAGACTCGACGAGAAAAACCGATCTCTTCCGCGCACACGAGGATCCGCCAGGCTTGATGATCGCCCACCTACCTGGGTGTTCCACGTTTATCACGCGACTGAGCTCGTGGCTCGTCGAATAATAGTAGACATGACGCCGGCCTACTGACAGTCACCGGCGTCAGCGTCGGCGGTCTGCGGATTCCTAGTGAAGCGAATTAAAAATGGAGCACGCCTCCAAGCGTTTCGAGCGCATGCACGCGCATCTTTTTTAAGACCCTCTTTAGGGATCCACTACTCACTAATCACTTAGGTGTTTCTGGAGGTGCACTGTTTTGATAACATCCCTTATCAAAAGAACTTTTAATATTTCAAACTCTCTGCATTACAGGACACTTGACAATTTATTGTTAGCCTTGAACGGTGTTATTAATAAACTGACTAGAACTTTATGTTGATTTTATTTTATTTTTGCAATTTAGTCGCAATTAACAAAATTAATTAATTAATAACAATGAACATAATACATCCACATTTTTAAAAAACATACGATGTAACAATTTAACTGTGAAATATTTTAAAAAATGATATACATATATGTAAGTAAAATTATTTTCTTCACTTACACACAAATGAGCAAACTCGCAAAATATTTGTACAAAATTACAATAATTAAATTTATCGATATATTTCACAGCATAAAATCATTGCTTTTCTATACATTAAAAATATATTGTAATTAAATTTGAAATATTTGAAGATATATGATTATTTGAATAATTACAAATTTGTATAATTGCTAATTATTCACTTTGCATTTTTTTGTTGACATATACAGATGGCAAAACGAGTATAATCACAATAAGAAGCATTATAAGCAATAAAGAATGCTCTCAGAGCGTATTTATTTCATTCTTATTATATAAAATATAAGTGATATTTCAGGATATTCTACTTTTTCTTCTAAAATTTTTATGATCGTAAAAAATTCTGGCATCAAAACTTTATGAATTTTTGAAATAAAAATATATTGCCTATACTTTTTTTACTACGTCTGAACTGACATATTATTTATATTCTGTAATATAAATAATAAAGAATTGCAGCATTAAATTTATAATAAGAATTATATAGAGCTTTTGCAGTTATTAGATGTTTCTATTTAAAAATATAAAGCAATTATTTTGTCGTGTAAAACAAAAATTAAATTATGTAAAACTTTAATTTCACCTGTCAAATAGTAAAAAATTGCATTGAGAATGAATGCAATTATTCATGTAAAAATAAAATTTTTGCTTTACATTCTTTTGTATGCATTCAACATAATAATACGATGATTTGATATAATAAATATGACATTATATCTAGCAGATAAAATAAAACTAATGGTTTTTCTTACATATACTAGAAAATTAAATTTTCACAAATTTTTTTATTAACAATTATTTTGTTGCTTTTCCACGTTCAAATCAGAATGATCTCACAAAAATTTTATTAAATTTACGAGGTACAAATTATCTTACTATTCTATCGCCAATATCCTGCTCTAATCGGCAATAAGGTCGTCGTCCCTCAGAGTTCACCGTTCCACGTTCGTGGTTATATGTACCTGCGGGAAGTATTATGGCCATCGATCGGACGCAGCACACTTCGATACACACTATTCGTACGACTAATAACAGGGGCTTTAGCTATTAAATCACAGCAGAGCAATAAGATGCTTGTGCAGTATTAATTCTTTGCGAAGTGTCGTGCAATTTTCATAGCCGTGAAGTGACTAGAGATCGGCTTTAATACACTCATAAACCACAGAATTTTTGATGCGTTACCGCGAAACAGCGGATTGACTTCCGCAGACCCGCAGCCATCAAGGATAACGGCTAGAGTTACAGAACACATACAGTGACTCAAAAAGCTATTTAAACAATTGCATTCGCTTTATAAATACATCGTCGTTCGAATACACTTTCAGCTATTGTATCGTGATAGCTTTGTTATAGATCGCATTATGCGCTAAAAAGCAGTAATACTTACTGCTTTAGCGCAATACAAAGTTTTATGCGCTAGATTTTGTCTAATTCTAGATTTATACTAATTTTAACAAAATATCATTGGAAAACTGAACATTATTGCATGAGTTATTGCCATACAGTAAGAAATTTCAAACGTAAAAAGACATATTTCTGTGTTTTGCGCACTCTACATACAAACGATGAAATATAAGAAACTATTGCAATTTAAGTTTTTACACTAATTTGTAATAATCTTTAAGATTAAAAAATTATTTATAGATATTAGAAATAAGACAAGTGAAGCGTATAGAAAGACCAAAACGTATCCTCTTCCTGGATGTTATGTTCTCAAGGATACAAAGAGTCAATTTCATTGTAGCGTTGAATCAAGCGGCGTCCACAAAGAGAGCAACTCCATGACAGTGTCCATCATTACCATACTGTCGATGGATAGCTCTCTTCATAGCGAGCGCTTCGTCCTTGAGTTCTGAATTTTCTTCTATTCCTAAATTTGAGATTTCACAATAGCAAGAAAAAAATTATATTGCAAGATGTTACAACATATATGGAATCTGAAATAATATATCTATAAGATCTTTTTTAAATATTCAAATAAATATTGAGTTGTAATAATTAATTTCGTATTTTTTAATAAATATTTCATATATTTTTACGCAGCACGCGCTTTTACGTAAATGCGTGAAAAAGTCGTACGACGAGTGGAATTTAATTGCAATTTCCACAAATGAATATTTAATTTACGTGTTAATCAAACTGCGCTTTGCGCAGACAAAATGAATAGATAGATCTATTTAAAAAATTACTTATTACACACAACTCAATACATATTTTATATTTTTATTCATTCTTACGTTTATTACTATACTTAATACACTATAATTTTTAGTATTTAAGAATCACATTTTCCCAAATATTATGAGAATGCGGATGTCTCAATAAACATTTAAAATTATTATCAATAAATATTTTAACAATAATTTTTGATAATAAAAAATCACTTTTTTATAGCGATACTATATTGAGAAATTAAAATTAATGTGGAATCCTGAAAAATTAAGTGATTTGTTATCTGTTCAAAGCTTACTTAATTTAATTTATTGAAATTCTCAAACCTTTATTTACTTCCACATGAAAAAAGTGATTAATGTCTTAACATTGAAATAAACGACATTTTTGTTGCTTCTGCAATTAAAATACGCATTGTCTTCTTCTGATACTAATGCAAATAAGCAAAATTTCACACATGTCTACATATATATCAATATATACAATATGATTGCTTAAATGCGTTATATGAAATCTCTTTATGTAACATCGTGTGCATAAAAGAACTTTCTCGACGAAAGAAGTCTATTTATTAACACCAATAAATTTTGCGCGATAATCGTTATCTCGAAAGTCATTATATGCAGCGCGATGGCGTCGTAACATGGGAGCAATGAGTGAACATGAATAGGATTTTAATCTACTGGCGTACCAGAAAAATCGGTTTCTATTCGTGCATGCGTTTATTCTAGAGTGAAAGATACTTGCACAAATCATTTCTTTTGGAATAATTTTTTACGAAATTAATTGTAAAATATGTTCCAAACATTGTTTTTATTTGCATTCGTCTATTGAACGAACTCATTTCTCAATTCTTAATTCAGTTATCAGCTTTCAGCTTTTATCTTGCAATCTTTTATTGTTAGAGTTCTGTAAACCCTTATTTTATGTACTGTATCTTCGTATTTTATGAAAGTTGATTATTATCATAATTTCTAACTAGCTTACAACTATTTTATTACAATTTTCTTATTTCAATTTTATAAATATTCAATGATATACGTACATGTCATGCTAAATATGTCTGCTGTGTAAATAGTTGCCATTTTCATCTGCGAAACTTGTCGGTACAAATTTATTCGCGATGCACCAGCCGATATTAACGATTTGCTGCCAGCGTAGCTGGTTCGCAGTCTCAAGTCAAGGAAGAAGTCAGCCCCCGGTGTAAAAGTGTGGCTGCTCCAACTTAGCGGCAAGGCTCGTTATCAGGAAGGTGCGAGGAGTCTCTTCCTCTTTAGCGCCGTCATCTGATTGCACCGCAAACATAACTGCTCCGCTACCAGCTCGTGCCATGACTTGTTAACACTTCTCTTTTGCCATCCAGCGATGCCGCAAAGAGACGAGAAACCGCAAACACAGTTTGGTGTCCCTAAAATTAATCGTCAAATTGAATATAGCTTTCCTTTTATGATAGTTTCCTGTTTATCAAGATGGAGAAAATTTAATAGAAAGCATGTATTTGCAATATTCTTCGAGTCTTTTTATTGTTTCCAATATTTCTCATGTCGCAATATTGATAATTCAACTTTATCGTTAAAATTCGAATTAAATATTACAAAATTAGCATTATCGATAAAATTATCTGGATTTATACATCTTACTCTATTTATAAAAAAAAAGAAACCTAGTATTGCAATATAAATATAAAATTCGGATTTATATAATTTTAACTTTTATATAATTTTAACTTTCTAGAAATTGCAAGGTTAGCATGTTGAAAACGTAAAGTTATACCAATTTTGTGTCACTCATCATTAACGTGTTTCAACTAATCCATGTACAAACCTGCGCGGCATAAACGTAACGTCACGACGATGTTCCCGATAGAGCGGGATCGAGAGATAGGAAGAGATCTGCGTTCTATTTACTCAGATGACATTTTCACCGCCGTTACAAGCAACTGCTTAAACACCCGTTGATTCGGTGATTGCAGGGCGAAAGATGTTAAAATTGATCTTTAGTTAGTCTTTAGAAATTGTTCTTTACATTTTTAACGCCTTTTTGCACTTTAAATTAAATCTATAAAGAAGCATCTGAGATAATCATATTCTTAACTTTGATATGTTGAATCAATAATAATAATTAAGACAAAATCGCAGAAGATATTGATAATAAAATCTGATAAGATAACAAAGTAATATAATTCTATATCAATTGTGGGATGTTTTATCATTCTGTAAAATTAGAATACTCTAACGAGATCAATTTTTCCAAAAGTAAAAAATCGACTTGAATACATATTAATATTACGTTAAATTATTTTCTCATGTAAGATACAAAATTTCTAAATTTTAAAGAGTAAAATAAAAATGTTATTCTTTCCAAATTTAACATTTTGCGCGTAGAAGCAAAATCTTTTTTCTATTTGGGCTGAAAATCGAAACCAATTGATAAACCATTGTCATAATGTTCGGAATAAAATGCTAGCCAGTATTTTCTATCGCTTGATAAACGCGCGATGAGACCTACAAGGTATCGTTTTTGAGAGCTGCGATTGCACCTTATCAGCGAGCAATGCGATAAGGTGATAACGTGACTCGCTCCGGTATTACCGAAAATCCCCGGTAACTTCGGCAATAATTCTCGAGTAGTAAATTTTAATAAATTACGCGCACGTAGTTTCACTCATCCGGATACATACTTTGCGGACCCAGTTGCCAGCAGTCTGCATTAATTACAACCGCGTTAATTTACAAGTGGCTGCACGTTCACTCCGGTAGTTTACACGCTTGCATTACGTAATCGATTTTAGTCCATCCAGTCGGCATATTTTTTTTTTTCTTCTCGACGCTTGCAATAGACAACGTTCTAGCATTACGTAGCGCGAAGTCGTGTCGTAATATTTCTTTGAAAAAAAATAACGTAGTTGCGCGGTATGCGATCGCCGGGCGTGAATTGGCGAACAAGTATAATCGAAGCGACACTTGTGTTAATTAAAGAATGAGAAAGAGCAAATGATATATTATTGCCTCCATGCGATATTATCAAAATCATTCCGTAGATATTTTTGTGTCAACGTCACGAAATCTTATCTTTACTGACAAATTATTTTCAAGGAGGTTCGTAAAAACCGACGAGATAAAAAAATGTATGGTAAAACAAAGTGATAATGCGAAAATTAGGTTTGTTTTATTTACAACAACGATGTTTATATACAATTAAAAATGAATAATAATTGTTATTAGTTAACATAAGTTGTTGTGTAAAAGTATTGAGATATTTTGTCACATGCTTATGAATGGCTAATTGCTTTAATTATTAACTAAGAGATATGAAAAATAAGACACAGGAATTTTAGAGATGGCATTGAGTAAATTTTAACCTTTGAAATGTAGTAATAATACTATGTTTCTAAAATAAATAAAATTTGTGAAACTATTTATTACATTCTATTTATAATAATTCTTAATAAAGTTTGTAATATCACATTTTATTCTTAATACAAAAATTTTTATCGATTGCATTATTAGTTATATATTAATAATGATATAGATAAATCATTAATTGAAAATTAATTATAATATAACAATTCTTGATAATATTGTCATTTTTAAAAGAATTGTTATAAAAATGTTACTTTTGATTTTTTTCATTGTTTTAAAGCAAATTATCCTTTTCAAAGTAGAAATAATGTAAATTTATCGTATATTTTTTATTAGTTTTCCTGGAGAAAATATATTTTTATTATTTTTAATTCAACAATTAATTATTGTGATTTTATTTTTGTTTATTATTTCTTTATTATGTAGAGCTATTACGTTGTATCTAGAGAAAATTAATACCGAGTTCTTATTACATCCGTTTATTCGATTCTATAATTTTTAGAAATTAAATTTTAAGATTTATTTATACTTTGTTTTCACTGCTTTATATTGATAGTTTACATCTAAATACTATAATGATTTTAAAAGTAGCATTGTATAATAGAAACCACTTATATTTGTTTTACCTTTCTCTTATTGGGTTAAGTAATAAATATATTATTTTCTTAGTTTATTTTATGCTACTTAAAAAATCAAAAAATAGCTCTAATCTTTTATTACATAAAGACAAAGTATATTTTTATATGATATAATCAATTTATGATGTGTGATTCTTTTTACACAAAGAGCGGATGTCTAAAGCTTTTTGTAGCGAACTTGTTGCATTTAAGTAGAGATTTGGAAAAAGTAAATCATCCTGTCTCATTATCCGAAAATTTCGATATTTTAATGGCAAATTCCGCAATTCCGCAGGTTCTAGTTAAATTTATATATTCATTACTTTTTCAACATTGATTTTGTCAAACATTAATAAATTGCTAAGTCTAAACAATTTAGTCTACAAAATAACAGATAACTTTTTTAGATAAACATCAACGTAAATATTTTAATATTTTATTTCAGTAAAATATTAATTAATTTTGATACGATAAATACATTTCTATAAGAAAATTTTGACATAGTTTACAATCCTGTAAGCAAAAATTAAAAAAGACAAAGTATAGCTTAGAATTAATGGCTGCAAAGTGATCGCCATATTTCTTCAAATAGATATGTAGTATAACGAACCATTTTTGTATTGAAAATTGCCAAAATTGTTATTTTATTAGTTATATGCGTGGCACATTAAGGCATCAAAACTGTTTTATTTCATGCTGCACATTTAAGTACATGCTGCACACAAAGTACAATTGTGCAATTTTTTAAATTTATTTTGATAATAAGAAAATTGCATTTAATTAAATTTGGTTTTGTTGTTGACTCAAGAAAGTAATCGAACATTATAAACTTTAAGTTCAATTTTTCAGTTCCATACGCCTGTTTGTGACAATAGAAACCCTATAATTCACATAAAAATATTTTCCCACTTTTGCACCGTCGAATTAAATTAACTGGTTATCAAACGATAAAATTAAACCGATATTAATCAACTTTATTTTAGTCTCCGTAAAAAATATTTCGATTATTGTTAGGGTTGACACGTAGATCTCGAAATTATCATCTCCATAGACCGATGAGCAGCGACGGCCTCGCGGCCGCGCGTTACGTAACAAAAGTGGAGCGTACGTTTCGTATTGCCCCGAGCGCATGATTGTTCCATCGAATCATTTGCATATGAAAAAGCAAATGAGCAAGTGAAAAAAATTTATTTACAGAAAAAGAGAGAGTGACGATCGCGATCTCAATAAACTTTCCAAGGAAAAGCGATCGGTCTTGCGATATCAATGCAGCATTCGTTATCTACTTCACCCCACAATTAAATCGCCCATATCTTTCAAAAAAGCAAAAGATGCGATAAAGATGTTCGAAGAATGTCTAAAAAATTCAAACCTTTTTTAGATAATACCTATATACTGTTTGTCTATTTGTTTCAACGCTCAATTTCCAAGCTGCCGCCATTCGCTGCGATATCGAATTTGTGAATCGATTCCGCTGCCGCGATCTATCTGACTTACCTGCGAAAATCCGATCGAAGCGCGGAAGCAGTTTTCCGCGCTGCGTTAGATCCTCCGACGGATGGCTCGGATGACGATGATCGGCGCGATCGCGACCGGCGATTCGGCAAAAATTCGCGGCGAACGACTTGACGGAATGAACGGACGGAGAAGGTTCAAGAACGAGTGACGTGGACGTCCCACGGCGTCGACTCATATACTCTACCCGCACCGATCTGACGTCACGGGCGCGTTTCTTATCAGCCAGGAGACCCAACACCTGTAAAGCCCACACCTGTCGACAAGAGCTTAAGCGCCGTCGGAAACACGCCCAACTTGTTCAGCGAGGACGACGACGACGACGACGGTGACGAAAGTTTTCGCAAAGCGCCACTCGCCGATCGCTGATACGCGTCCGGCATTTGGTACCGCGTTAGCTCCTCCTCGTTATTAGATCCTTAAATATATTTATTATTTGAATACTTCAATTTTAAACTGCAACCACCATTTCAATCGAATAAGGAAAATATTTTATCTAAGTCGTTAAAATTGTTATTTAGTCGCTTAGTCATTCATACTTGCGACACAATAATAAGTTAATGCAACCTGATGACTTTCCATTCCCTGAAATATGTGAAAAATATATAACATATCTGTGTTATGTTAATTATATTTTGGAATTTGTTTTATTAAAATTTAAATACGTTATTTTCCAAACTTAGTAAATAAATAAATAAATTTCTCCGCTTTCCGCGTTTTTAACAATTTAAAATGTAGATTTTCTTTCAATTAAATCTTATTTATTCTGCACATCACGGCGAAGTTACGTGATTAGTTTTTGTAGAAATATTCGCATTTTTAAGGAGAACTAAATCCTTGCACTCTCGACCATCTTGATCATCTTGCAGAACAAGAAATATAAAAGACGGTAATGGAACTTGACTATTGTCACTGATCAGAGTTCTTTAGTAGAATACACTTTGCAGACGCATATCGCCATTGATGGAACATTATGTAAAATGGATATTCTGAACAAACAAAGGAAATGTTACCGTGTTAATTATACAATGCTAAATAGGACATCGGAAACTTCAGGGCGATTCAAACAACGATTTTTAATTTTCCAGTGCCTTTGACGACACTGTCGCGTAAGCCTAGCATACATGAGTTGCATATCTGATCAACTCACAATTGCACATGAAAACTGAAATGTAGGCATACAAATTAAATCAATTCTGCTCCAGTAATCACTTGCAATTGGATAAAAAAATTTTATATTGTTTTCTTTTCTAAATTTATGCGACAGAGCTAAACGTGGTGACATATGAAGCTGTGCTTTACAATAATGTGTTTTACGATAGTTTGCTTTGTAAGAATTTGAACATGTGTGAAATTTTTCAATTACATCTTTATGTCACATCACAGTATCAATTCTTTCGAACAGGCATCTTTTTAAGCTTCCGACTAAATTCGAGCGTAACGTTGGAAGCCATCTCGCTCTGCTCGTGACGAGAAGCGGGATGAATTTACAGCCGCGCTGCCGCCGCATGCGATATCAATGGCAAGAGCAAACGAGTCGGTCGCGGTGCAAACATCGAGCGACATTAAGGGAACGGAGAAGGAACGAGGTGGAGACGAAACTGTGGAGTTTTACTCCAACGATGTCACGCGGGTTTATGTGGAGGCGTTGCACCTTATCTCGTGTCCCAGTTACATCACCGAGCCGCGGCTTTGTTGTTGCTACATCTATTCCGATCGCAGCCAACTGTTTCGCGTCTGCCGTAAGAATGTTTCATTTTATCGCTAAAACAATTTCCTGAAAGCAGCTTGAAATTAGATTAATCTTATTTCCCAAATACTGACTTGTTCTACTTTGGCGAACCTTTGTTTCTTCTCGCTCCCTCCTGTTTTGCCTTAAATAGTTATCGTGGAACGGCTTCCACTGGCGGCCAGCGGTTTGTTCCTGCAAATATTTGAATAATAAGAACAAATGTTTGATTAATAAGAACAACAGAAGTGCTATATCGATCGGTGAGAAATAATTATGTAATCAATCTTAGAGAAATTAATTATAAATTCAAGATGAATACATTATTTTGAAAAATAACGATAATTGTTAACAATTACTGTATGTTACAGAAAGGATTGATAATAGATATGTATTTTTTACATGTCGCACATCGAAGTAGCAATAGGTGCTGCGTGAAAATCTAAAAATAGGCACTCGGTCGTCTGCACTTATACGAGAGTCTATTTCTAGAAGGCCATATTGGAAAGTGGTATCGTACGATTAGCCATTTGTCCTTTGTAAAAGTGTGTATGCATATTCACACGCATGTACGCTTACTAAATAGAATTCAGATTTTCTCGTGGATACATGCAAACTTTTAAGTTTATGATTTAGATTCACCTGCACGCATCTTTGAAAGTTTTTCTAGCCTGATCGAGCATTCGTTTGTACATGGCGAGATCGCAAGCTTTGTCCTGCTGCACGGTATTTAATCTGGTCTTTAGAGCGAGACACTCCTCTTCTAGTAATTCGATTCTACGTCAAGCACATAAAAATACGATAAAAACTGTAACGTCGTTACGCAAGATTTTACAAAAATATTTGAATTAAAGAGACAAATTAAAAATTTTTTCAATACAAAACATACATCGTAGTTACAACTTACTTAAAGCGAATTTCTTCCGGGTTGGTAGATTGTTCATTCGTTCGCAGACTCGACATTGACCTTACGCAGGATTTTGCTCTGTACCTGGAATCTACTTTGGCAAGTCCCACTCTCTCCTTTTCCAAGTTCCGCAACTTAGACTCCAATTTTACACATTTACTTTTCTCCTTGTGCAGCAATTCCTTAAAATGACGATAAAAAACGAATAAACCTCATAAAAATCCGCAAGATTCTCCAATATAACTTCTTTGTATCGATGTTTAATCGATGGATCAGATAATACTCTATTAAATTAGAAGTATACTTTATAAAATCAACAATTAATCCATTGACTTATTTAATTACTAAATTAATGTATCAATAAAATAAAATTAGTGTATCAATTAAAAAATTAATTTAAGTATTGTACAGATTTTTGATGTGTCTTTCTTTTATAAAATTATGTTAAAATTTGTTTAATATTTGTGGCTTACCGCAAGGCTGTCGGATTCGTTTCTTTCCTTGTCCAATCGTTGATTAAGCACAGTTACCAATTCTAATAATCTCACCCGTTCAGCTTCGGCAGCTAAAGCAAGGGTCACGTATTCGTTTGGTTCACCTAAACTGCGAGGGCTAGTAGGCAAACTGATCTGGTGCTCTTCGCTTGATCGGACATCCGAACGAAACGAGGCTCGACACTTCAAAGGTTCATCCGACGTAATATCATTCCTAAAACAAGAAACAACACACATATTTTTAAATGGACATAATTTATATTGCAATATCTCATGATTTGTTCGTACAGACCTCAGTTTGTCGATCTCGATCTCACGCTCTTCCAATCGCCTGCGTAATCGATCGACGTGCAATTGCGTTGCTCGCAACTCATTCTTGATATTCATACTCTCACGTTCAATCTTGTGTTCCCTGTTTTGTACTTCTATCTCGCGCTCTTGATGCCTCTCTTCAGCCATCTTCAATCGTCCCTAACAACCGACCATAAAAAAAGCGTAAGAACTAGAAGTGTAAAGCGTAGAAAATATTATAAATTAACACACTAAAATTACAAATACGTCTTATAATTTCAAGCTCTCTTCAGAATATAATGTTCAGTTTCAGGATATAATAAAGAAAAAAGGATTTAGATTACATGAAAAATATTAAAAATTATATAAAAATGGTAAAAAAATTAAATTAATAAAATTAAATTGACAGAACGGACACGCGTTATGACATTTCAATAAAGATTACATGCATAATATCTTATGTATTACAGATTTTTCCTCGCAAACTCTAAATAGACACGTATTTGCAATTGATTCTTTATTAGACTAAATCTTTTTTTCATTATCACTAACATTAAGCGCATCGATCAAACGATCATCGTGAGATCTTTTTTCATTCAGCATCACGATATTCCCCTTTACAACGCTCAATTCATGTTCCAATACTTGTACTCTCGCTTTGGAAGCGTCAAGCTTCCTCTTCGAGGTTTCCAACGCCACTTCCGTCTGTCTGAGTTCCTTTGCTGTATTTTCGATCTGTTTTCGTCTTTCCTTCTCAATAATTCGAAGATTGGTCAAATGTTGATCTAAATAAATGACTTGTTTTGCAAATTAAATAAGTAATCACATTTGCATTATAAATTAAACAAGTTGTGCAACAGTAATTAACGTAAAATGTTGTCCACAAACGTTATCTACAAACAAATTTGATACTGAGTGGCATAAATATAATAACATATACAAAATAATTTATTTAATTTTAATAAATTTACTACACAAATTAATTTAATGAAAGATGATTTGAATCACACGTAAAGAATCAATCCGATAAATATGAATGAGACTTTATAATTCTTTCTCCTACCAGAAGGTTCTTTCTGCGATTTCTCGTCTTCGGACAATTTGATCTGCAGTTCCGCTACTTTCTGCTGCAAATTCCGAATTTGCTCGGCACGTCCTCGCCAGCCACCTGGTACACTGGAAAGTGTGGTGATACTGACGTTTTCACCCACCTCGCTGCACAATAACTGATATACTTGTATTCTTAGTGATAACTTCTGCATATTACATGTGAAGAAATTTAGATCTTTGATCAGAAGATATAAAGTGAATGATATCCCCTTGTTCTGTCATATAAATATCTCAAAACGTATAGATGTTAAGAATTTTATTTTTGTATTTTTTACTTGTCAAGAATATATAATTTTTTTCATAAATCACAATTATTTCTATGCTTAATCAAAGTTATAGAGCAACAGGAACATACCTTTTGTGCTTTATTAATATCTTGCCGGAGACTGGCACACGTGTTCCTAGACTCACAAAGCTTTGCTTGTACTCGTTGCAGCTTATTTTTCAAACATTTAATTCGTTCCTCGTCATTTTTACCCGATGGATTTTTCTCCCCTATATTATCCTGATTTTCATCCTCTTTGATATTACAATCGCACGTAAAATAGAATACATAAAACAAATAATATAAATAAATTAAATTGTTAATTGCTAATTTAATTACTAACAAAAAATATTAATATAGAACTATACAAAATTAAACTATTGATGCTAAGAAGAAAAAGAAAAATTGACAATTAATCTCTACTTTTCTAGAAATTTTATTAGTATAAATAAAATTTAATTTAGAATTGTTTTTCGAAATTTAATTAGGCAGCAAAGCTAACGAAAAATCAAGTGTGTAATTTTTGCATATTGTTTGCAGAATGGGAAAAATGCTAACTGTTGTTAGAATTCTTACGTGTTTCAGATTTGAGAATTTGTTGTAATTCTACTCTTTGGCGCTCCAGTTCGTTATCTTTGATGACGAGAGTAGCTTCTAAGTTCCTGCATTTTGTTTTTACTGCCTCCATTTCGGCAGTTCGATCTCTATATTTTTTACTAAGTTCAGTTAATTTCGTCGTGACCAGCTCAGTCGGTTTTCGTATTGTATTTTGCAAATTCAATTTTTCCTGCGACAATTCGCGTAACTTCTCTTCTGCTTGCTCAAATGCTTGTCGCAAACATTTATTCTCCGCTGTTAAATCCTGTTGTATAATTATTATTGTGATTAACACATAGTAAATAATAATAAGTTAATTAATAATAAATTAAATTTTGAAAATTTGCAGAAAATATAAATATTGTAGGTAACACATTTATAAATAAATTCAAAAATAAATGTAACAATAAAAACTATATTTGTGTTGCAATATAATTTTCCACTAAAATTAGCTTTATTACATTTTTGTTGCATATATCAATTTTAAATATGTTATTAAATAAATTCTGATTGCAAAAAGTTATGACATTTATAAAAGTAATTCGAAATTGTCGATTATTTTTATAATTATACATTCAAGAAATTATCGTAAGATTTTTTCACTTCATTCTTTTATAATATAATTTTTTTAATTTATAGTATAAAGAATATAATAAAGAATAGATATAAAATAGAATAGGTATAGAATAGAATATAAAAAATTTTATACAACCAGTATTTAACCAATTTTTTTATATACACCAAATTATACTTACACGAATACGATCTTGCAAGAATTTATTTAGTTCCTCTGGAAATATAATACGTTCAGGGAGTTGTTCCTATGCAAAAATTGCATATACAAAATGTTGAACATACAATAATAATCAGGAGGAATTAGGAAATGTAATAAAATATTGATATGTATGCATATATGTTTGATTATATATTTTGAGATCCCATATTAGTTTTCAAAATCATGCTAATAATACACTTAAAAAGATTGTGAAAGACTTTTTTACTTTAAAAAGATTGTGAGACTTCATTTTAAAAATATTGTACAAATACCTCTACAAACTTCGATGGAAACATATTTTCATCAAGAGAATCATTTATCTCTGGCTTGCTCGTGTCGTTCGCCATTCTTTCGTATTGAATACTCAAAATAATGTTCGACCTAATTCGATTTCTAAAATGACCTCAAATCAATCGCCGCATACATTGCGTTCCTATTTGTGTATCTTTGAAATAATTTATATAAAATTCTGTCAATGGTTCCCTCGTTATGTTGAATTATACATCATACAGTGATATCACAAAATGAGAATAGAGTGCAAAGACAGAAGTGATGAATCATTACATTCATGGGTGTCTTTTTCAGTAATATATGTCAGAAATATCCTCGCTATATAAGAATGTGATAGTCGAAAGAAACGAGTGTCGCTCGTTTGTTTTACAAATATAATAGTATGATATATTTAAAACTATGTTTATAATCGAAGGTTTGGATTATACATTAATACAGTTATACGTTTTATTATTCGGCACATTTTAATAAAATTGCACGTTTTATATATCTATATGTAAGATAGCGATATAAGGAAAAAATTTTAATCACATAAAAAATATCTAAAGCGCAGTATAATCTAAGAAAATAAAATATATTTTTTATGTGAAACAATCGTTTATCATTAATATTAAAATAATTCTATCACATTAAAATTGTTTTTCCAATTGTGATATCAAATTGTTTGAAGTAATTTTGCAAAAATAATTTTGTCAATGAAGCTTTATTATCTTTACATTGATAGTCTTAATTATTCCATCATGCTTTCGAAATATTATATTTCTTCTTCTGTATTTTCTTATCTTGAAATCCACCAGTTAATTTTCCAGCCTTTTGCAGTGCCTGCAGCTTTTTAGTTTTAGCAACTGCAACTTTTTTGAGGGCATCTGTTTTTTTATCCTTAGAAGGTAGCACTGCACATTTTACATTTATCCTTCTTTTCTTGAGGAATGTATGATTCAGCGTGAATGCTTTCTGTTAAAAATAGAAAAATCACACTTTAATGAAACTATTCAATAAAGATAATCGCGGTAAAAAAGACAAAATGTTTTTACCGTATAATCTGAGTTATCTTTTAACTCCACATGCCCAAAGCCACGTGATTTCCCATTTGAATCAGTCGGGATCCTGACACTAAGGACTGTCTTAACCTTGGTAAGAAAATGCTGTTTGAGCTCATCTGGTGTTGTACTGCAAATTAGACATCAATAAAGATTTATCTAAAAAAAAAACTGAATATAATAAAAATGTAATAAAAAATAAAAATGGTCTTACTCATATGGTATATTGTTCACATAAAGGACATATCGCTTATTCTTTGCTTCTTTTTTCTGATGATCAGAGAATGGTACACCTTTTTTCTCCTTTTCTGTTGTTTTTATGTTTTTATCTGTATCTTCTTCATCCTCCTCATCGTCTTCATCCTCTTCATCTTCTTCATCTTCTTCATCCTCTTCATCCTCTTCATCTTCTTCATCCTCTACATCTTCTTCATCTTCCTCCTCCTCTATGTCGACTTCCTCATCTTCTTCATCCTCTGTATCGTCTTCATCCATCTTCATCTTGGACTTCATCTGTTCTATATCCATTTCTTTCTTAAACACCGTTTTCAATCCGCTAGATTTGTCCAATTTGTCAGAATCGTCAGTTTCGTCAGATTCGTCAGATTCGTCAGAATCGTCAGATTCGTCATCCTCGTCATACTTTGTTACTTCCTCTTCTTCTTCCTCATCTTCTTCACTCTCATCGCTTTCATCATCAAATGGTTCTTTTACATTGTCCATAGATACATCTTCTTCACTCTCATCGTCATCTTCACTTTCCGAATCATCTTGATCATCTTCTGGTTTGACTTTAGCTTTTTCGTTTTGGACATTTTTCTTTCCTAATTCTCTTTTATCTTTGTTAATCTTCTCTTTATTCTTTATAGATGCACTTGTACCTTGATATTTGTCCTGTTTGTTGCTCTTTTTTTCTGTATTTAATTCCTCTGAATTATTTTTTGTTCCCGCTATTATCAATTTTTTCTTCAGTGTCGCCAGTTTTCTTTTTGCAGTCTTTGATAACACTTCGCGACTTTGGATTTCTTCTATTCTTTTCTTTATTTCTTCTACACTTTGTGTGGTGGATGTCACATGAGATTTTTGTGTCTGTTTTCCTTTGTTTAATTCTTGTGGCCCTTTGTTTAAGTTTTCTAATTTTCCTCCCTTCTTCTTATTAAAAACCTTTACCTCAGGTTCAACGTTAGTTGACTTGAGTTCTTTTACATGTATCTTTTTTTCAATTTTTGATGATTCTATGATGTTATCTTGTTTTACGTCTTTATTCTTTTTCTTTCCTTGTTTATCAACTTGCTTAAAGAATTGTACTGTATTTGTTGTTGCAAAATTCCCATTTTCTGCAGAAACAGCGAATTTGGTTTTTTTAGCATTTTTCTTGAATTCATCGATGCTCTTTTGCTTTTGGTCAGGTTTTGTAAAAGGTAAACTTTCACTGTGGGGTCGTTTTTTCCCTTTTTTATCAAACGCCTTGGTCTTCATTTGGAAATAAATGCCCTCAGAAGCCACGTGAAAAATGAGTAATAATTAATACGCGAATATACACGTATTAAAACCTAAAAATAAAATTTTTTAATTTTAGAAAACTAATTTTTAATCATAATATACATATAGACAATTTTTGGCTTAAAAAATTTGATCGCCATGTGAAAATTTTGTCTCGTGGAAATTTTTAACCGCGTTGGTTACCCGAGGTAGAGCATAAGTTATATAAAGTATTTATGTGTATTTATTTGCATGTAAAGATATTTATAAATGTCTAAAGTAACATATTTAATTTACTTTTTCAATAAAAATTCAAATTATTAGTGAAAATCACAATTATAAAAGGTATAGAAAAAAAGCTGAAAGGTTAACTTACGTACAAATCGCAACAACGAAAACGTGAAACAGCGTGGGTGCCTATACGTATATATACCAGTATTGCCAACTATTAAAAATAATGATGCAGGGCATCGATCATGTAATTTTTCCCTAGAAGCGGAAACGTGAACAGTGAAATAGCGTTTTCGATTATACAGGATTTGAACGACCCAGGGTTGATCAATCACTATTTTACTATAAATGCAAGTCTTTCATTGGTGGAGAGGTTGCAATGACGTCATTAACCAACCCTGGGTCGGTTCAAATCCTGTATAATCGAAAACGCTAAAAATTTCACATGAGGTCTGTTCTTTTTAGCTGAACTAGTGCAGTCAGCTAAAAAGAACAGACCTATGAATTCGCGCGCGCGACGAACAGAATTGTCGAATATACATAAAAGTTTTTTAAATATTTTTATTGTATCTTTACTTTCAATAAGTGCGTACTTTAATTTACAGTAAGTGCGTGCTTTATTTCAAGTAAAGAAAACTTTGCAAATTTTTGAAAAAAATATAATAGATTCTTGTGCATTCAATGAACACAACAAAGCTCAGTTTCTCCTTTTATTACATTTGTCGACAATTACAAGCGAAATGAGACAGATGAATGATTGCACACCACCCGATACAATCTGCTTCACCAAGCTCGCAACTCGGAGAATAATACATAACACGTAATCGGGTATAATGTATACATAAATAATTAGATACAATTAGGCGCAATTCAGTTTTATGTACACAGTAGGAACAACGCGTCGAGCCAATTTTCATTCCCGACACGTCGTACAATCAGTTGTGATAACTCGTTCCTGTGATCGATTTCAACCCTTCAAACTAATGTTATCAAATTCACATGGTCCACAAGTTTTACAGCACTAAGGCGAATTGATTTCATCAATTGCAATCAACTATAATTGCAAAAAGAAAAAAAAAAGAAAAACAAAGTTAATTTTATCAATTTCATAACATTAACTTTTGCATGTAATTTACAATATTGAATTTAGAAAATAAATATAAATGGATTTAATTATTCAAAGGGTTAAATCGTTTTTCTTCAAACATAATGAAGATATTTGGAGAAGTGCTTTGCGCGCAAATGTGTGCCGATCACAGACACGCCTGCGTGACGTGACAGGCAATATAATGTATAAGATGAGATACGATTGCTCTAGCAGTATAAATAACTTTTCATTAAGGCAAAAAAGATTTTTAAATTAGGAAACATTCAAAGACAAATCCAACTTTTTATGTATAATTTAACATACTTTTAAAAAACTGTCAAAATACAAATACTTTTAAATTAAAAGTAACTGAAAGTAAAAGACATCTTGACAAATTAAAGTTCTAGTTCCAAATCCTTGTCTTTCAAAAAATTTCACGCTTTATTTAAATTTAAAATTCAATAATCAAATTTTATTAAATAATATGAAATAATCAGATATCAGTTATCAAATAATCAAGTGCAAAAATCAAATCATCATCAAATCATCAAATAATGAACTAAAATAATTAAAAATATTTTTATATGACAAATTTATGTAAATTTTAAATGATTTTTTTTTAATTTGTAATCTGTATTAAGTTTACAAATTTAAAATAAAATAACCATGTTTAAAATTAAATGTCTAACAAAAGTAGGACAAGTATATAAAATGATTCATCACATTACTGTTATGTCTGAAACTAGTTAAATGAATAGTATAAAGTTTGATGCAAAATTATTTCTGCTAGCACAATCTTATGCCGCCCTACAATACACGAACAGTTTAAAGCTATGTATATCTACACATTTGAGGGGTTCAGATAAAAGAATTGATCGGAAACGTCCTTACATTGCCGGTTTGCCGATCATTCCAGGACAATCATCAAGGCATCATCAAGAAACCTCGATAACGGGGTCATCATTTTTCCTTAATTGCGAAAACATAGAGGGTGAACCATAAGTCGCGTATCTTATATATAGAAATGAAAGATTTAAATTACAAAACTGCGAATAAATAACGTGTTTGTTTTAGATTTTTTCCAAATATTATAATCAATTGTACGAGAAAGGAGAAATTGCACGCGGCTTTCGGTGCACCCGGTATTTGTGTGGCGTGATACATTGAATTCGCGCGCGGGACACACAATAACAATTATATAAATTAGCCTAATTATCCTTATCGTACATGTTCTATGCACGCTATTCCGAGAAAATAGTGCGGTATCTTCAGATTAATCGATTTTTGAAGATCAATCGCTCTCGCTCTTCGCCTTATATTCTACATGATGAAATAAATACTAATGTCGGTTAGTCAATCGTGGAATATTCGTCAAATCAGCGTGACGGGTGTTAGACGCGATGGAGCCTCAAGCAATAGTCGCAAAAACTTTACTGCACTCCATCATTATTCTTAGCTACATATTTTTCCTACTATTTTCTTTTTATACACATTTTTTATTCACTAAAATCAAGAAATGCACGATCAGACCAATGTAATCTTGATGTCCAATTCGTAAACGTTTCCTTGAGAAACACGCGGCGAAACAGTTCGACGACTTGAAGATAATTCGCAAAGATCCCAGGAAACTAAGCGAAAAAGAACAGTAGTAAAACGTGCGAGTTTAATCCCCCGGAAGTCGCAATATATACATCCCTCTCTTGATCATTTTCAAGCAATGTATGTACAAGATAAAAATACAATACGTAGAATTACATTTCCCTCCGTGATTGCAAAGGCCAAAGAAACGGTGAGTAGATGTCTTTCCTTACTTCTAAGGTACGAATATTTAAGTATGACAAAATATCCAATTGTTAATAAAACTAAAATTCCTCGCCGCTAGATAATAAATTTGATGCATCTTACGGATGCTGCGACATCCAGGGATCGGCAGGAACAAATTCGTGTTGCGTAATCTTTCCGATCTCGCATAATCTGTGCGAGAAGCTGACTGCCGATATCTTCATCGCACGTTTACCACCAAGTACGGCTGTCCAACTGTTTATTTGTCTAAGATGCGGATTGTAAGTGAGATTTGAAACTGTACAGCCGCACATTGCGGCAATGTACAATGAAAAGTAAAATCCGATTATTCAGTGTTAAGATTATCAATTTAAATACCAATGAGTACGCTCGAAACGACGACCGCGCTCCTGGTTGATGCTAATATTCTTTCGACTAATGCTGCGCCGACAACTTGATTAGCTAACTTTCTAAAAATCATACTTTCATCAATACTATTAACAAAGAAAGAAAATTTAATAAACAACAAGCACTAAAGCCTGGATTATATAGGACTCTCTTTAAATTAACATCTTTTTCTATAATTGCTGCCTAATAAACACATTATTTCTCTTCTATTAATTATGGCTGTTATAAAAATCTACCAACACGAAACAGACTCTTTAATTTAGTGCTATCAAATTAACTTGTTTATTAAAAACGTATTGCAAATCACTATTGATCCTTTTGTAAAAAATCTATCAACAAAGAGACATTGTATAAACCAGGCTTAAATCGATGCACATCGGCGCTAAATGGCGCACAAGCTGCTTCCGCTTGCCGTAGCCGGTTGCCGCTTCAGCCGTCTTGACGTTCTCACGTGACGTTCAAACATTGAAGCGTGTTTCCGAGCCATCGGCAAGCATTAGGGTGACTGTACGATTGTTGATCCATATCAGCCGTGCCAGACGCATAGGATTCAGCCGTGCCACATCGTTGATGGGTGCAGTACTGTAAGATTTCACACAGCGAGTCTGCGAATTGCCCAGACCAAACATGCCACTGCTGGTTTGCTAAAAAATTGTGAAACAGAGCTATGTATCGTTTTCAAGGCAAGGTGCATTGTACATCTTAATAGAAAATTAGATGACTGAGAACAGCAAATGATTAAATACTGGCAACAAAAACAAAGAGAAAAAGTCGAACAATATGTAAGAGATTTGCATGCTTAATTACCTGCCAAAAACAGAGTTTGTTCTCGGAACAAGAATAACTGACAAGGAACTTTCCTTCCGGCGAAAACGCCAATGCGGTGACCGGCGCCGAATGAGCAGAGACAGTTTGACATTTGACATTACCTCGCAATTCGTACAATGCTAACTGGCCACCGCGACCACCAACCGCTATCCTGCGAGTTGCCGGACAATGACTGACCTATAAAAATTGAAAAATTTTTTTTAACATATTGCAAATATTTATACATACAAAATGTAGCAAAGTGTTAGTAACGCTAAGACGTCATTTTACAAGATTTAAGATATTTCTAATAAATGACGTTTATTTATAAAAATCTTAACTAGTTTACCTGATTAAATCTACAAACAGCCGGGAACACTTCGTTCAAAGGCTTTATTTTCAGATGACCTGGATCAAGGCAATGTAAAATGATATCCATAACCTGAAAATATGATTACATTAATAAATTAATGTAAATTAATGTAATGCAAATTAATAAATACACGCATATATCGTTGTACATGTCAACTATAAATGCGCCAAATATTTTCATATAGATTAATCTTTTTACAATTAGCTTTAATTTGGAAAGAGAGCTAGATCAGTACCTCCACAAGAAGATCGCTCATCTCGCTCTGCATCTTATCAATCAGTTGTTCAACGATCCTAAGAATTTCTGGCTTTGCTCTGGTCAACACACTCGCGCCCAAATTGACATTTAAGGTCTGAGCATTCTGTTGAAGAGTGTTAAATCTAGCTACTTCGCGAGCCATCGTCGTGATAAAGGCGGCTGGTCTGGCGGTAGCGATTAGCGTCAACGCGTGACGCGCTGTGCGACAGCTGTCGGCCTGCGGCGTGAGAGGAAGGCCGTACGTCAGATTCGGCACCAACTTGTCCGCATCGCAACACATTTCCAATAGGCCTAATAGAACCTGTAATATAAAACTTCCATAGTTAAATGTGTGTAATAGAAAAAATTCACATTTTACAAATGTCGTCGATATAAGATAAAATATAAATCAGGGTCAAAATATCGGTGCGTTGCCCGTTGAAACACTTTCTTACCTTTGACACATCAAGGTACGGTTCCCACACGGTAAATCCTCTGCCAATAAGATCAATCGCAGCCCTTCGTAGCGCCGTGTGCATTGGCAACTTCGGAGAATGAGGCGCGTGCAACAAGTGAGTGAGCGCCATGCTGGTGTGCCTAGCAAGATTATTATTTCCTATGCCGAAGCCTTCCACGATAGAACTCTTTCGCCTTTGTTCGTTGTCCCTTCTTTGGCTACCCGTGGTTACGTCCTGGCCAAATTCAGCCCCTATCACGCCCAACAGCACCACCGCCGTGGTTTGCTTTCGCTTCAATTCCGCCACGCTCGATGGCTTCCTAGCTATACTTTCTGCTAAGAGAAAGACACGCGTGTATCAAATTAATTTAATTTGCTTTAAAATATATATTTCGTGTATATTTTCGCTATTACCATTCCTTTGTTCAAAACATAAAATTTCCGCCCATCGTGGTGAAGAGACTATACAACATAAACATAACGATTTTAAATACTGCAAACGACTTACCTTCAGCTAATTCTTCTTCTTCATATTCTTCTTCTGGTTGTGATTCAGACGGCGGCACCGGACTGCCAGGCGCCGGTGAACTTTGATTCTGTGGTTGCGGCGCGATAGGTTCCTGAGTGCTGTACATTGGTAAATACTGTGACCAGTTATCGACAAGCGCTTTGCGACCCTTCGGGCCTATCCTGCCGAGCTCGGCAAGCAGCAGAGCCTGTGCTGCTTCTCGAATCTAAGATATCGTAAAAAAAATATTGAAAAACTAAGCCTAAATGATATAATTAAGATAGAATGATTAAGTGAATTTGCAATTTCGAAATTTTATGCCACAAATGAAGTGTAATAATTAATTTCAAGAATTTGTTTCTCTCAAATATCTTAATATAATATTTTCAATAATGACAAACCTCCACACACTGATGCTGCCACCTTCGTGCCATCATTTCGACTTGTGGTCGCTTGAAAGTCTTTGCGCCACCTTGTGCTGTAACTTTATCAGGTAACAATACACAATGCAACGTAGCCAAAAGAGACCATCCTTGCTTGATCTGCGCCTGTTGAACTGTGTATATTTCCTCATTTTCCTCCTCTGTCTTATTCCAATTCATCGCACCTCTATTGCCGGGCCTATTTATAACAATTGGCTTTGTGACTTTGTCATATATATTTTCCTTTGTACTCAATATTAATTAATATTAAATTTAGATTTTCCATTATAAGTACGACACATGACTATAATGCAGTGATAAAATATATAAATTAAAAATAAATAATGTTTTAATTATTTAACTCACCTGTGCAGCTTCCGATTTCGTTCTTGCTCAGGTACAAACGTTGCATTGTTCATCGACATCAAAGTGTTCGCTAAAGCAACCACCGCCAATAAATGATTACTCGTTAAGGTCGTTGATAGCTCCCAGTGGGCTCTTGCGGTGAATGCTCTAGTAAGCCTCTCTTGCCTGACTAATTCAGCTGGCAAACGTTGCTCCAGCTGTGTTGCAGGTTCGCCGACTGGTTCAAGCTGTGTTTGCCAAGTAGGTAATAGTAATGACATGTAACCTGTAGCATACATGATTCTGTTTAAGTATTTAGCTTAAGTATTTAGTTAGAATATATGAATAAATTAAATTATAGACAAATCATACATAAAAAAAAATTTTTTTAAATATATATATATAAGTTGTAACTGATGATTTACTTTGTGAAGAAGCGTACATTATCAGTACATTTCATATGAGAACTTACCACCTTTGGATAAAACCCCGAATGAGACTGGAACCATAGGCCGCAGCAAACCCAATTTTCCCTCGCAAACCCGGTCCAAATCTGGATCCATGCCCCAGGCGTGCAGAAGACTCAAAAGCAACTGTGCCACTTCCATCGTCGCGTTCGGCTCGCTAAACGCACCGTTTCGTTTCAAATTGTTCTTCGCCGCATCGCTGTTGTTCCAATTGTCGCCTGCAAAGCAATTCGTATTCGATATAAAATTGCATAATATTCAGCAGCGCAGCAAAGACAATTATGGTCACATAACTGGAAAACAATAACTTAACAAAAATGTATGATAATTGCGATTCAAACATGTTGGTGAAAAAAAACAAAATTCCTAAAAGACATCAAACAATGTACATACACGCACACGTAGTATTAATACATAATACTAATGATTAATATTTGATTCGACACACTATGTATACATTTTACAAAATCAAGCGGTGGTAAACTCTGTGAAAGAATACACATTAAATGCTGTTTTAAAATCAAGCGTGCACATCAACGAAAATTAGAGCAGTTTTAGTGACATCCGTCTTCTTGTTCGATAACTTCCATTCTTGGTTTGGTATTTATGATCCTAATGGAACTCGAAGGAATTAAGATTATAATCTAGTGAAGATGGGACTGTTGTGCAATGCCTTGAGGAAACTGTGATATTTTTATCTCTATCGACACAGAAAAATCATAAAATGTAAATGGCGAGGCTAGAATGCAAAATAAATTTGTGCGATACACCGTCAGCCGTGAGCTACAAAATCTTGTCATTGTCCAAGACAATGTCTAACCTTTGCCATCAAATGCCGACTTGAGGCCGACACTTTCCGCCTTAGCCTGTAATTTAGTATGCACATTCTCCGCACCTTCCTTCATCTTAGCCAATATACCTACAGAGAGAAATCGGCGTTTAGATATCACAATTATCAAGAAGTACAATTGCAACAAAACGTCTATTAGATTATTGAACTAAAGAAGTCTAAGGAACATTAATATTATCGCGACCTATTAAAAACAAGAAGATAAGGAGTCCAATCGTTGAAGAAACTAACCGAACTGGATTAAAATAAAAAGAATATCTAAGAACCTTACGGTCTTCTACGAATGGAGGAACTTAAAAGTGTAAAAATCTAAAAAAAAAACTGGAGTAAAAAAATGTAGCGGTTAAATGACTTAAAAAATATGATTGCCAAATGAAGAAAGCTCAAAGTACACTGAAAAATGAGATTCAATGTAAAGCTACAATGAGCCTCGTATGTGACAGCACTTTCAAGCGAATAAAATATAACAAAATGCACAACAAAAATACAAAACAACCCTTTTCGACTTTAATAATCAATTCAAATCGGGATTTATGGCAAATAAGTGCAATATTATTTTATATGTGTAAATTAATTGGATATGCAAACAAAAATCGTCAGTAAAATAATTTTTTTTATGGAAAAAAATTATGAATGTTAATATTTCTTTGTAAAACTTCAGATATTAATACACCTATAGGGACTTTAGTGAAGGAATTCTCATATATGAACAAAATTGTGAGACAAATAACACTAATAAACACGGTACCGTGACGATCCTTCTCCTTCAATATTCGCTCAACATCGCCCGCCTTATCCTTGACGCGACCGAAAAAGTCTATAAAGGGATACATTAATAAACATATACATAGCTTAACAATATTAATCTTTAAACACTGCAGAACAAACTGTTATCTTTCAATATATATTTTTCATAGTATACATTTTAAGCTAAAATTATTTCATTATAAAATTTAATAATCTTAGAGTATATGAAAAAAGGGAGAAAAAAAGAGAGAGATTCTTACCAACAATTTTCTTATGCGCATCGGGACTAGCAGATTGAGTAAGCGCTGCGACTTTTTGATATTCGGCGGCGGAGATAAGCCCCTGCGCTTCTAACGAACCGGGCGACATGGCACCGTATTCATCGCTGAGCAATTGTACTGCAGCAGAGAAACAAATTAAATTATTGTTGCAGATCACGCGAGAATACAGACACATATATTTGTGTGCCAAGACTTTTGTTGCAGAAATGAAAAAATTAAACTTTTTTAAGAAATTACGTACCTATCAATGCCTCTATGTCGAAGAACAGGATATGACTCTCCGGATCCTTCGGGTTACTCCTGAAGCCCTGAATCATTAGCGGCGAGCCTTTGGCTTTTATCTGATTTCCGTGATCAGGACCGTGTCCACCGTGAAGCTGTTGCAATTGGTGCAGTCCTCTCTGCGTTGCGTGTCTGATCGCCGATAGGTTTCGATGGCGCAAACCCCTGAGAAGTAAAAATTGGACGAACTGTAACGGAGAACGTTATCCGGGAAGATTTATTTCGCTGGAGGACACACGTGATTCTCACCATCCATGCTGCAAGATTTCATTTACCTAAAGAAATGCACGGCTGGATTGGCTAATCCTAGCTCACCGCCGGCGGCGGACCCGCCGGCCGCCGCTATAGTGTTCTCGTCACATGCATAGAGCACCTCTTCCGCGATAATGCCTAGAAAAACAATTGAAGTATAAAGCAAGATAAGGACATGATGATCAAGATGATGGAGACTCTGAAAATTTAAGAATTTAGAATCCTGAAAATTTAAAAGATTCGGAAAAGACGAATAACACTTGGAAGATTGGCACAACAGAGTTAACAAACCGTGTAACACGCGATCCAGATGACCGGTCTCCATTTGCCAAACGTATACGGCGCCATCCGAACACCCGACTATCATGAAGTCATCCAATGGTCTCCACTTGATGGTTACAACCGGGAAAAGATGTCGCGAGGCAAGTACGACGCATTTCCTCTCGGCCAACGAGAGCAACGTAACGCTATGATCGGACGCAACACTGCAAACGCATTTCTGTATCCTGGGCTGCAAATAAAAGTATGTACATTTTTACATATTAATCAATCTTTGCGGCGATATTTGTTACAAATCAACGTTTGACTTCAAAGCAGTTTAAAACTATCATTATCAAATTCCATGATAAGAATAAGCGAGGCGGTCGTACACTGCAATTGTCAGGCGGCACCATTAGCTGCGTGATTTCGCCGGCGTGAACGCAAAACCGGTGGATCAGTGTACCGGCATACAAATCCCAGAGGCAGACAGCGAAATCGACGGAGCCGGAAACAAGGTGGGTGCGATCGTAGCGAGATGCTGCGCCGTGAGGATACAGCAGACAATTCACTCGTCCCGAATGACCCAGAAGAACTTGATGCGGTGGCCAGTCTAAATATCATGCGTATGAAAAGCGAAGCGTTCAATTAAGTCGTCAGGAATTCCGATGTCGATACGACAAAATTCATCGGACAAGTTATCGCGCGTATAGAGAAGTCGCAAAAATACGCTACCATCGTACTGCTGATGATTTCCATGGAGGAGTTGAAGCATCACGGTTTGCGTCGCCGGCACGATAATGATGCTACCGTCCTCGCGGCCCACGACTAGCCGACTCTGCTGCGGCAGATATATGCAGGCGGTGAGTTTGATACCCTGACCATCGCCAGAGTCCAGCTGATCGAGTATGCCGACGGGAGGCGGTTTCATCCCGTCCCAGGCAAGGGTGAGGCTTGTCTTGACGGTTGGCGGCAATGCCGGTGGCAGAGTTCCATCGTTCTGGCATATCTGAGCAAGCTGCTGCGTCGTCACGTCTGGCACCGTCCAGAGAATAACTACACCTTCGCTGTCCCCGCGTAAAAGATACTTTAGAGTCTTGTTCTGACGCTGCACGGTGACCAGTCGCATAGCCGGCGGGCAGGAAAGAGGCTGAAATAAAAATTCTAATGGTAAAAACTATGTAAATAAATTCTAAAATTAAAACAACCAAAGAGTGTGCCATAAAAGAATTTTTTTTAATCAGAAAAATTTAAGTAAAAAATTCTAAATTCTAATATTTATAATTTCACAACAAATAAAAACTTTAGAAGCAAAAGGTTTAAAGAAAAATCAAAGGATTCGTAAATTTAAAGATCAAACGATTGAAAGATGATGATTATCAAACCATGAATATATTTATTATGTGAGAAATGTTTCTTACTTTATCTCCGGGCTGCGTGAGTGTACAGTACAGATACGGCTGATCATATTCGGCACTAGCGGTATGGAAATCCTTGTTGTCCGCAACGCTACTGCATATCGTACAAAAAATAATTATTTTCGTTTCTATAGAATTTTAGGTACCATTCGTGGACATTGCTTCATATTTTTAAGTGTCGCGCAATACGACATAGATATCTGAATCTTTGTACATAAATACACATGTTCGATAACATGTCCACAAATAGTAACTACTTTGCCACATTGCGTAAGCTTATACTGCGTCGAACAATTCCGAAATGCGCGATTATTCGCCGTCTATGTTTACTAGCAAGCAAACGCTGCAAGTAAACGCCTTTTCGAAGCAACAGCATTTTCCAATCATTGTAAAAAAAACGATACACAAAGGTAGAAATATATTTGCAAAAACTTGGGTCAATAGTTCGGAATTAAAGAGAGACAATTAAAATTCCTAGCTCCTGCTTAAAAGTAAGAAAAACATCACAAACATGAACATACCTTTTTTCTTTTATTTTTAAACTGAAAAATAGATTTGGATAAAAGATATTGAAATGTTTTACTCTGGAAAAGATTCTTTTGTTTCAACGAATAACCTTTGTGTCACGTCTGTTGCGTTATCACACAGTTAATAATATCAGTGCAAAGCAACTTAAAGCAAACAGAATGTGAGAACACAAGTAATGAAATATGGCAGCATGTGATTCTCATTTACCTTCGTTCGCGTATCTTTATATATTTTCACCTTGTCTATATTGTCTGTTTGAATTGCGATTAATGATTATAATGTACAATGTGATACGAAAGTCGGGTATACAAATGCAACACGGATATAAAGATGAGAATTCATATTTGATATTCTTGCGAATGTACATAAGAAAAGGCAAGAACGTCGCCGCACGTCGTGAATAACACATACAATTCACATCAATATAATAAATTCATTAGAATTAAAATACGCTGCATATTTTTAACATTGAATTATTGCATTTTGCCAGTGACAATAGAAATTTAGCATATGCCGCTATTTTTACCACACATCTTTGTACTGAAGAAGAGCAAGCGAATAATTTGTGTTTGTAAACACAGGACAAATGACGAGAAAAATGAACAAAGAGAGAAGGAGAAAACAAATAAAAATTAGAAAAGATAGTCATATGGAGAATGTGTACTAGTGATAATGCGGGTTACCTGCTGAGAGCCTTGCCCTTCAGCTTGCTAGAAGAACACCAGATCCCGCGTAGAATGCAGTAGATGTATATAATATGAAAAAGACATCACCGTAAGATGGACCATTGTGTTAATTGTTAATTCAGGTGCATGTACGAAAGATACGATTTACATTCTCGGATTATACACTGTAGTTAGGCAAATGCTGAGTCCTCAAATCCCGCGAAGTTCCCAAAAAAGGAATTTTATCGTACTTATTTTTATATAAAAAAAAGTAAAACGCAACAAAATTGAATTTTATTTAATTAACATTTTAATCAATTATTCTATCAATACTTAAAATTAATTATTATTATATCAACAATTATATTTGCCAATGTGAATTTATATTGATAATTAAGTTCAAGATTTATATTTTAAATAAAAATGCGCAATAGTAGTTATATTTAATGGTAAAAAAAATTAATTCCTATTTCATGAAATAGAGTTATTAAATGTAATGGTTTTTTTTTTTTTTAGTAAATGACAGAATGACTCCGAATATGTAGGCGCATGATAAATGATTATAAACAAGATAAAAAATAAAATATATCGAATATGTGCATTGCCAGCAAGTGCTTCTACAGCATTCAGCCCTAAAATTGAAAAAGGAGAACTTTCCATGTTTGTAAGTTGATGCATCTGCATAGTTTTATACATGTTAGCAATTCACAAGGAACTAATGTAACTGTCTACTGATTTTGATAACACCTTTTGACGATTCTCTCGAGAAAGTGAGAGAGGTAAAGAGACAAAGTATCCGTTTAGTATAACTAAAAATTAAAATGGCAACATCTGTGAAACATCTGTGAAAATCATCTCTCAAAGATGTATCACATAAATTACAGTCGTATATGAAAAACGCTAATGACTCATTTCACTCCCGCTATTTCGGCTATTTGTTAACTGCCATAAACTGGAAAGTGCGTTTTAGTAAACCATAACCATGCTGCTAAAACTATTAGTATAACTCTTTCTTTATATTACAAGATATTATTTGCAATAGAACTTTTTATACTTATGTGTACGCAAAAAGAAACTACCTGTCAAGTTGTACCAGAACCCTAGAAGCAATAAAGGGATGTGCGAATCAATAGGAATTCAATGACGGAATATTTCAATCAAGTTGTTACATAATATCACTCAACCGCAAGTATCAAATTCAGGGAATACGAGAGAGAATTATTTGTTCGTTAAGAAATGTTATCTCAGTCAAGGAGAAAAAAAAAACTCGGAAGTATTCTGAAAGAAATATCTCTAAAATACCCCAAAATCAATGTTCGCTAACAAAACTTATACGTTGAATAAATACGTACTTTGCTGGAAGCTTAAATAAATATCCATGACCTTCGTCGCTCCACAGAATGACCCTGTCCGCGGCCAAGAAATCGCCTGCCATCCAACGTTCCCCACGTGGAGCCGTTACCGAGCAGAGGACCGAGAAATCACCGGCATCGAATATCTATAAAATAATTCCAATAATACGTACAATTGCGGGCTTCTATTAATGTAGAATAACAACATAAAGTATTTTAAAGATGCAAGATATATTCAGAACATTGGCTTTTAATAAAGATTTAATTACCTGCCAGTATTTAGAGCACACGATAAGCACTGTTCTCTGGTTGTAAGGACAGCAGGTCATCGCCAGCGCGTTTAAGCAGCGGATTTGCTTGCTCTCGTGTTCGTACAAGGGCTCGCTGTTCCGATTCTCGTGTCCCAAAAGTGTCCACACCTTCACCGTGCCCGTCGTCGTCAGAGCCAGCACGACGTCGTCTTTAAACGAATGGAAGCGCCTGTTGCGCGTTAAATAAATCTAGGAGAGCATTGTAGCATTTTTAAGCGATAGAACATTTCGTTAAGGTCATTCGAACAGATTGCTATTCGCTATGAAGACGGAATTTTTTTTTTTTCAGCGTCTCGACAAAATTAATATAAATAATAATTATATTGTCGGACCGAATAAGCGGCCAAAACAGACGATTAAAAATAGCATCATTCTAGTAGATACAAGTGTAACGTGATCATTATTAAAGCAATAATTATTTCCGTATGCGTAAAGTATAATATTACATGCACGAAGATGTTTTCGCGGAGTAGAAAGCGGCACGTATTAAATTACAGCGAAATCATGCTTATTGCAGAAATTATGCGTGTAGTTGAATTATTTGACCAAGCAAAGTCCAAGGACCAGTGTTGATTAAAAGACAGCAATTAATATGCATTGCGTCCGATTGATGCTGACAAAAGAATCCGTTTCTTTTTCTTTTTTAATCTTCTTCTTTCACGATTTACTGTTAAACTTGACTTTATGCATACGAAATACAATATTTGTTTCTTAATTACATGTATAACTATTAAGAAAATACAGTCACAAATAATAAACTGTAAATTAGTAATTAATTAACTGCTACAAACATAAATGTAGCACTATAAAAAATTAAAAAATAATTTAAACAGTTTAATACATTGCATCTAATACTGGTAAATTATGGCATCTTCTTTAATACTCTCTTCAACATAAATAAAAAAAAAATAAATAAATATTCTGAATATTACAATAAATAGCTTTTTCGATTAATTTCAGAATTTTGACAAAAAGAGAATAGAAAATATCAATATACTTTATAGCAACAGCACAAATGAATAAATTTAGCTGTAACATGTAGCGTGCAATTGTATCATGTAAATATATATTATAATATACATATACTTACGAATATATATATATACACAGAGATAAAACATTATACGAAGTATGTGTGAGTGTTACGAAGTATAGGAATGTTAAGTGAAGCGATGTGAATAAATGAGATCATTCTTATGTAAATAACTTGATAGATAATGCGTTAATAAAGAAAGAGAAATAAAATAAGATGTTAATAATGATTATGTTGTTCAATGAATGATATGCAGAGATGTGTGAACCACGATTAGAAGAAAAAAGAAAAGATGGAAAAAGTGATATAATCTCAACTGCCAGCGCACTAGCACTGGCTTCTGTCCACTTTAACATGCTGCAACAATGTAACTATTATTAAATGATCCGTCCAAATATATATTAGATATATAAAAATACTACTATCAAACTAATTCAAAATGTGTATAAAATAGATTAATATAAAACAAGACATAAAAAAAGTTTCTATTTATACCCCAAGCATAAAGCTTCTGTAAGTTATTTGCCTAAAAAATGGCAGAAGAGCAAATTGCAAAAATTAGAGTTCAAAGGAAATTTCTGTACAAGTATTTTAAGTATCGTTAGTTGCTTCTAAATTAACTAGATATTGTCTACTATAATCAATGATTACTTGAAACCATAAGAATTATTATCAAATTCGAATTCATTCATCAGATATAGTAAACAACTAAGAAAGAGAATCTTTACCATTAGTATCCGCAAGTGTTCTATTTAAACAAGAATGCGTAAATATATAAGATAATGAATACCAAAAGATACTGTTTAACACAAAATTGAATTTTTATTTATGCTAAAAATATTGCGTACTGTTCAACGCATGAAAATTATTGTAAATAAATCATTTTAAATCGCAAGGGTAAATGTAAGATTGCCGCGGATTGTCGCGATCAATTTCGGAGTGAAGATAAATTCATTAAAAAAAAGTTGTATATTACGACATACTTTTATACAGTATCTATTGGTAGTAAAGTTGATAGAAGGTAACGGTTCATGGTATAAAGCATAGGTGTGATGGAGTGTAACTAACTTGTATGCACGTAGAACCGACCTTTCCGTTTGGCCGGCCGCAAAACGTGCAAAGCGCTAATCCAATCTGGATTGACGCGAGAGCTTAAGGTGAACAGCACCTCCAAACTGAATGGATCCATCACCAAAACCTCAGGATAATACCTAAAGCAATAAAAAAAATACACTGCATTATGTGAACGATATAATCACGTAATGTAACACAAATAATGCGATTCTTACCCGGAGCAAAACAATCTAACATCTTCTCCACCCGCGGAGACATAGGGTAACATTTGTGTGTGAATGTTATTAAGCTTCACCGCCTCACGACACTTTCCGTCGACTAGATCCCAAGTACACATCTCTCCGCTTTCACTGCTACTGACGATGAAATTTTGTTCCATTATTACACTAGCTCGGCTGAGGCACATTATTGGAGCGGTATGTCCAACAAGTAGACATCTTGGAGTCATCTATTGAAATCATGATCGTAATATACAGTAAGAATGATAAATAAAAAAATAAGATACAGTAGAATAGTGAAACTTCAGAAAAAATGCAATTCATACTTATTATCCTGTTGTTTATTAACTTTCAGATAGCGATGATCGAGAGTTATTTGTGATATTATTGTGTATCTTTTAATATCATAGTTTATGTGTAGCCAGTGCTCATCTCAAAATCAATAAACAACAAAAAAATATTGTACAACTTCTGCTCTCCTTTAAAATTTTCTAGAATTTACTTACATTAACATATTTTATATTTTTTAAGTGCTCTATATACCTTTAATGTTTCTGGATCCACTTGCCATAAACATATCTGCCCATCATAACATCCTGTTACCAATGTTTTTTGATCCCGGGATAAATAGACACAGGAAATACAATGGGTTGGTGCTATACGGCCCCATAGCACTATGGGCACCACTAAACTGGTGCCTGCAGTCATGTTTGCAAACAATCTGAAAATTTATTATCATAATAGAATAAACAACTTTATTTTTAAACAGTAATATTAAATTCAGCGCTAACATTCTTCTTAGTGATCAAATTATATTTAAGAATCATCACATCAAAAGACTTAGAAAGTTTAAAAATATAATCTCGAGTAAAAAAAGTAAACGTTAGATTAATTATTTCAAAACAAGTGTCAGCCATATATTTTTTTACTAATTCATCTGAAATATATCTAAAAAAAAGGAAACAAACAATTTTTCAACAATAACATTTTAAAAAATAACATACAAATATAATGCTAGCAGTGATATAAGCAGAAGACATAACCATATAATAAAATGAGAAACTTGTCATTAACAATGATTCATTGATAAATCACATGGATAAATCCTATGATACAAATTTCTATGAGAAATATATAGAGCTTAACTCGCGTCAAAGTCACGAAAAAATCTTTAAAATCTCGAAATCATCAAGTTGTGCAGAGTTGATTGAAAGCAATTAAAGGCGTCTGCTACATCATGTTGGCAAAATGTCACAAGTGATCAAAACTGTGGACGTGTTAAGTCCATAAATGTCAATTTTTCAAGCACTAATAATAATCATCTGGACGGAAATGTATAAGATAATTACCACCAACCAATAAATACCGTTGACAATCACTCGGAATGTCGGAACTGGCGATACTTGCCAAAAATCGCTCACTTTTTACTACGCTCTCAACACCATCGCCATCTTGCTATTGAGGACGATGCACTGAACTATATATATACTGGATTGGGCACTGCCATGCTACGAGCATTGGCGGATAGCGAGCTTGAGATAGATAGCTTGTATGGGCTTGGTGTCTCGCTCATACGTCTCTACGCATGCGCACATCATTGAGAGTACTGGCAGGCCAAAAAGTTTATACGCTCGATGATTTCGCTCGATTGATACGTTCATGTCGGTCTACGTCTAAAATAAAAAAGGATGGAATATTAAAAAATAAAGGATAGAATATTATATATTATACTCGATATAAAACAGTTTCAGGAGAATCACAGAAATTTTATTGCCGTAAAATTATCTCATAATAAATCATCTCAAATCTTCGGTTATAACGAATCGTAAGCCAAGATAATAGCGTTTTCGATTGAACGGATTTTGATCCATCGCGGATCAATTAATCACTATTTTACTATAAATTAAAGTCTTTTATTGGCGAAGACGATGACGTCAATCCTGGATCGATCAAAATCCGTTCAATCGAAAACACTATTGCCCGGTTCCACCAACGTAGATTAACTTTAGGCTGCGTTCCGAAATTCACAGCCAGTACTGAAAATCTACAATATACGTTACGTAAACTATAGATTTCCAGTACTGGCAGTGAATTTCCGAACACAGCCCAAGTTGAACCGAGATTAAAATTAATCTACATTGGTGGAAATAGGCATAAAAGTTAAATCAGAACCGAATGTTACTAAAGATTAACTTTTAAAATTGCATTGGTAGAAACAGGCATAAACCTCATTTACATGTAATGGCCTTAATGGCCTTCAGCGATCTAGTATAGTATAAATATCTATGTACATTCCTATATCTATATATATTCCTATATCGATGAGCAACACATCTTTGAAAATAAGCGGGAAGGGGATCCGTTAATCCAACAATGAACAAAATCGAGAGCATTCTGGTCACGTGAGCAAAAGACGATCGTTTCTCCCGCGCTTGCATCCGTAATTATCGTTTGACCTTTTCAATTGGACTATTTTTTTGGCCAGCGCGTACGTGTACGCCGTATTTATAGCGACAACGAGTCTCGAAAATAGGTAACTATGTACACCACGTGCGTCACCTGTAGGTGTTGTTACCGCTGCCGCATGTGTCTCGGCAGATAAATCTTTCATTTTTATAATTTTTTGTTGTATTGCAGTTGACTATTGTATACATGCATGCATATGTAAATATGGCATCCTGTGACTGGCAGATTACTAAACAGAAACTGACGGAGCGTAGTCAGTATTTGTTGGAATTGGGACTATGGTCTGATTGCAATTTTATCGTAGGACAAGAGCCTCAGCAACAAACTTTCAAGGGCCACAAGTTGTTCCTAGCAATGTCCAGTCCGGTCTTTGAGGCTATGTTTTTTGGTGGCATGGCGGAAAAGAATGATCCCATACCAATTGAGGATGTGCAGCCAGAAGCATTTAAGGTCTTATTGGAATACATATATACTGATAAAATAGAATTAGATTCCTTCGAATTGGCTTGTGACTTATGGAATTGTGCCAAGAAATATATGCTGCCATCTTTAGTAGAAGAGTGCATAAAGTATCTGAGCTCTCATCTTTCGGCGAAAAATGCATGCAAGGCATACGAGATTGCCAAGCTTTTTGAAGAATCTGGATTATTAGACAAGTGTCTACAAATCATACGTACAAAGACAAATGAAGTATTAAAGGAATCTACCTGGGAGGAAGTGGAGCTGAAAACACTTCTCAAAATTTTAGATCAGGATGACTTGCAGATTTTATCAGAAGTGGAATTATTTAATGCAGTAGAACGATGGGCCATTGCGGAATGTCAGAGGAAATCTCTCGAGCCCACAGATAAGACATCTTTAAGATCTGTTATTGGAAGTGCACTCTTAAAGATAAGATTTTTGAGTTTGTCTTCTAAAGAATTTGCAGATGGTATTGGTGTGTCTCCTCTGCTTACACGAGACGAAGCTTTCACTATATTAATGAATATACCAAGCAAGGACATAGTACCTATGCCAGAAGGTTTTTCCACTAATAGGAATAGAAGAAATCCAAACGTAATAAATTTTCAAGCACAAACTACTTTTGTGAGTCAGGAAAACGCTTCACCAATGTTTGGAGTCGCCAATTCTTCATTACCATTTGGAAGAACACATAAGGCAGGATATTCATTTGGATCTTATAACTCCAATGGCACTGATAGAAGGTTTCAATAAGAGAAATCATTGGCGAATAGATAGCTCATACAATCTACGTGCGCAGAATATTTTATTGTCCACTAAATACATGCTTTGGTGCTGAATACTGTTTAGACATAGCAACATGGCGTGCTATGATTTTTAACATATAACATTTTTTACATATATATTTTATATAATACATACATAATACATCGTGTTATAAAAATATAACAGGGATGTCCAACTAGTTGGTCGCGACATGTTGTGTTCCAATTAATTTGTATTTTGACACTTAGTTTATCTTTATTGATATGTTTTAAACACTAAAATCTCATTCTATTTTTTTCTTTTTCCATAGGTAACATCGCGCTATATAAAAAAAAAAGTTGCAGGAAGGTTGATCTGTGCTAAAAATAAGGTTTACTACTAACAAAGTTTATTACTTATAATTACTGAATTCCATTTTTCCGATTCTGGTAAAGCGAAGATTTCTCGTTTAAATGTTGTAGTCGTTTTAAAATTGAAAAATTCGACATTTTTTCAAAAATTCACATTTATTATTTGTTTCACATTAAATTGTTTTAACATCTGTACCATTGAGCATTATACTCATTTTAATAAATTAACAAATTTTTATTTTATTTATTTAACCTTGTTCAAATTTATAAGAATTATTTTAGATGTATGAGAGAATAATTTGAAATTTCATAGATCTCTTATTACATTTGAAATAAACGATTACTCAACACAGATATAAATAGATATTATAAATATATATACAGGGTGTGCGTAATTCACGAATCAAGAGCAATAGCATACAAATTTCGCAAAAACGAAATAAAAAGTTTTCGATTTTTTAATTCAACCAATAATTTTTGAAATATAAGTGTTTAAAATTACCAAATCAAACTATATGGTTAAGCAATCGTTTATGTTGAGTCATTCATACTATTATTGTCAAAGATTCAAAAAAACAAGTAACTGTTTAATTATATATTTGATTGGTCAGTTTAAATCCTTATATTTTTTTTTAAACACTTGCTTGGATTGAAGAATTGTAAAGAATTTTTATCATTTTGATTCGCGAATTACAGGACACCCCATATATATATTTATAAATATTTTATATATAAATTTTTTTCCAAAAATATGTGTGCGCGCGCGCATGTATGTGTGTGATGAAACCTTGTAGCATTTCTTCATGAAATTTACACACACTTCTTTTAGCTATATATTAAAAGTTCCAAACGATTAAATGTAAGAGATGCGTCATACATCATATATGAATTATCATTCTAACTCTCTAAATACTGCAATGGTTTGTACTATGTCTTCATTTAAGACTTTGAGGCATCAATAAGGACTGGGAATTCACCTAGTTCCTCTTCTTCAGGAATAATTGTACGTAAGGGACCAAAATATTATTGCCTCAGATCAGTAGTTCAAGAAACAGACTGCTTGAACACAAATGTGCTAGATTGCTCCGTTCAGTTTAAAGCGGATAGAAATATTTGTGTGGTGGGTGTACAGGTTCCCACGCAAGTTCCTGCGGTAAGCTACAAGCTTTATATAATTTATTATATACATATCTAGTTAGCATTTGTGTGTTTTATAATACAATATGTACATCACGCGTGTTTTAAAGACGAGTAATTTCTTATAATTCTATCTCCTTGATTGTGACGGCATACGTTTGACGTACACATATTTCACTACTAAAGCAAATTACGGTAATTATCTCGTGGAAATTACTTTCATTCGACCAGTTTATATTCAGAAACGTAAGGTTTGCAACACAATTGCTTTTCTGCTGTATAATCAATTATACTCGTTAGTCGTTATTTTAATAATTCATAAAATAAAAAGTATATTTTTATCTTTA